ATCCCCTAATTTTCAATTTTCCACCCTTAGAGATCAAATACTTAAATAACAGTATCTTAAATAATTAAAACGGAAATAATGTTTTTTTATGTGTACGATCAACACTCCTATTATTTTTTTTCATATCTAAAGTCCTCAATAATAATTAATTAATAGGCACCTTGGAGTTTTCTGTAGTTGTGATGCTGACTGAAGGTGTTTTTACACTTTTAAGTAATTGACTTGTAATCTTGTTAATGTACACAGGCTTGATTTGTATCAGACATTGAATGATATATTTATTAGGTAATATTAGTCAGTAAATACTAAAAAAAAAAAAGAAAAGCGTTGATTGAAGTGGCTAAAATTTTGAATAAAGATATTATAGCTATCATGTGTTGAAGCAGATTTTAATCGAAATTCAGAATTTATTTAATGCACAGAGTTTATAAGTAAAAGTATTGTATCACAGATCCGTCTAACATTGTAAGCAGTTTTATTTTGAGCACTGTCTATAAGTAGAACAAATTTTCTATTTCAATATTTGATTTTTTTTTTAAATGGGCGCACCTCTGTCTGCAACATCTATAGAGTTATTTTTATCCTACGGTCCTTACGCACGAAGTTAAATTTGTTCACTGTATTTACTCATACCAGTGTACACAAACATCAATTGAAATATGTAACAAAGAAAGTTTACGCCATTTTGGACAATAATTTAACAAAACATCTATAGCTTTAGTCTTGAACTCGCATACTTTCGGCTTAAGTTGTATTTTTGCGGCAATGTTGCCAATGTTATATATCAAAATTCGTATTTTTGGTTCATGAGCTTTCAGCGGCTTCGCGGTTGGCGTTCGTCCATGTTCTATGATAAGATTTTCTTAACAAATTTCATCTTTCAAAAGTGGAAATTTGTTGCATATTATTTATTCAAATCTTTTTGAGTTATAGTTTGCGGTCAGAAAATGTAGGTTTCAATAATTATTATTTACGTTTTATTTTGTTAATGCCTTCGAAACAGCTTACTGTTCATACCACAAGCGGAAGTAGTAAATTAGTTTGTGCGATATTACACTAGCATAGATGCAACAACAATGAGTTTATTTTGTTTAAATAGTAATTTTGAAAGTTACAAAACTAGTTTCATGATAACAGGAGTTTTGGTTTTCCGTTTTTCTGTTCTGTTACTTTTATTCGTCCCGCTTTGAAAACCTGCCTTCGAATCATAAAAAATCCTTATTATTAAGTTACTTTCTATTGTTTTCATCCTTTCAAAAGTTAAGTTCTCAATTTGTTTCTTCAAAAATGGTTTTCACTTTAATCTTTGTTCTTCTTGTGAGAAATTAACTAATAGAAAGTCCTTGCTTTAATTTTTATTACCTACGAAATCAATAACACTTATTCAGTTCAACATACAGTTAAGTCAAAAGGAAGAACCTCTATAAAGTTATTACGTTATTTGTAATGAATAAAGTTAATAATAAGTCGTTTATTACAAATATTGCGGTGCAGTAATTAAGGAAACATCGTCTTTAACAGTTATTTTGCCTTCAAACGAAAACACATAAAAGTATTAAGAGGTTCTAATACTGAATACCTAACCTTCAGACGTTGTATGAAGTCATTAATAAACTAAAGTGTAAAATATCTATAACTGTTTTCCGCTTGTTTCCTGAGTTATCCATGCGTTTCGTGTACGATTCATTGTCAGTAAAATTTAACAGGGGTCTCCATGAAAAACGGAAGCTGTTCTACTATCCCATTTCTTTTTTTTCTTATTGACTTCCACAGCGCCCTCTTTACCCCCTACCTCTTTCAATATCTATACACTGCTTTCAAGCAGTTACCGAGAGTTTGAAACTTTTATCGTTAATAGTTATTACATACATTTACGAAAGAAAAAAAGGAAGACGGTAACTTCTATAACCGTGCGATCGTTCTGTAGAATTTCACGGTTTAATGAGCAACGCCATTTCGAGTTAAGTAAAAAGTTGGAACCATGGGTTTTTTTTTAAACTTTTGTAACACCAATGTTGCACAAGAATCATTTACGTAAAACATTAGTTCTCTACTACGTATTAGATATAAAGCAATATGACTTTTATTAAAAAAAAAAAACTCGAAAAGAAATTATTAGGTAAGATAGGTATCGAATTATGTGCAAAGCGTATAATAAAGAAAGTACAGCTCCAAAAAGAAACAAAAGCAATCCCAATAATTTACTAATTGAATGAAATTTCTTCGATCATATTGTCAAACATTATTTAGGTAGATCATAAAAAGAATGGCATCGTAAAAGGTAATTCTGTAAATTTTTTGTAAACATCTATATGAGATCATATTATTTTTACGTAAAATATTAAATTAAAAAGTTAAAAACGTTCAACAGTTTGAATAATACTTACGTTAGTTAAACTTTCAAGGGCGCTTTTATTCTGAAATATGTTGACATAAGAGAAAGAAAACAGTGGAAAAGTTTCACCACTTAAAAATTATATTCAACAATATCGGTTCGGTCTATGCCATCAGTATTATTAATAAACATATGTTCTTGATACAAATCGAAACGACGTTGTTGAGTACAATAAATCAAGTGGTGAATCTTTTCCATTATTTTAGTCAATTTTCTTTCCCTTATAAAAGCGCTCAACCAAGTTTCACAAAATTTACTTCATCATAAGGTCGTCAGTCCAAAGACTGGTTGTTCACGCACCTCCACTCTTTCCTATCCTCAGCTATTGTTCGCATTTCCCTAAAACTAGAACAACCTATATCCTTAACTATTTGTGATCCGTTTCTGCCTCTAATATGTGTCTGCCTAGACCTTCATACCTGAGGTGTCCTACTAATCTATCTCGCCTATTTCTTATTGACTTCCATAGAGTCCTCTGTTCTCCTACTCTTTCTAAAATCTCTTCATTTTTAATCTTCTCTATCCACTGTATCCTCATTATTTGCCTAAAACAGCACATTTCGAACGCTTCTAACCTTTTCTTTTCCGCCGCGCCTACTGTCCATGTTTCGCACCCGTACAGCACCGTGCTCCAAACTACACCTTTAACAACCTTTTCCGTATTTATAAATTAACCGTTCGCGAACATAGAAGTGACTTCTTTTTATTAAAGGCGACACGACCCTGCGCTATCCTCTGCCTTATATCCCTACTACTACTTCCGTCCTGACTTATCTCACTTATTTTTTACATCCTTTTACTATGAATGCTTAGGAACGTTAGGAATAGATATCGTATAGCAGGTGTCTGATATGTTATACACAATAAATATTTAAATAATAAATTCACAGCCCTAAAAGTGATGTAAATATATCGAAACCACTGATGACGACCTTTAAATAAATTTTGTGAATATTTTTTTATTTTATTAAAAGGTTTCACAAAGTGATACCCTGCGCAGAATCCTTTTCAATTATTTTACTTATNCACTGATGACGACCTTTAAATAAATTTTGTGAATATTTTTTTATTTTATTAAAAGGTTTCACAAAGTGATACCCTGCGCAGAATCCTTTTCAATTATTTTACTTATTTTGCTTAGATAAACGCAAGGCATACTTATCATCTTTTACTAGCGAATTCTATTTTTAATTTTAGTAGCAGCAGATGAAAATTTTAAACAGTGTGCTTAATCTATTTACAAGGAAGCTTATAAATGACTTTATATTATGGTAGGTACCAAAATGTACACTTGACGCCTCAAGGTTTGCGTGATCTTATGTTTCATGATAATCCTAAAATTAATCGAGAAATAAAGTGATGTAACATAAAAATATTCACAAGTACTTCCAAATATTTAACGCTTCTACTTTATAAATTTTCCAAACAATTTCGTATATAATATGTACGTTACCCAACCTAGCTTTTTTTCAAAAAGTTTTTAGGGTCAGTTCTCTAATTATTCTATGAGCAACAAAAATTGGAGTTTGTTTTTCCTCTTTTGCAAAACATTTTTCTGTTTGTTACAGAAGATATAAGTCTAAACAACCAATTTATCGCGGAGTACACATTCTAAGTGAATTATTGATGTAATTTTTTATTCATAACAAGATACAATATTTGAATCATTTTTATTTATAAATTTTTAAAATTTAATTGACTAGACTGAAAATCGTAGGCGCATTTTAGTGACCGTTCAAAAATAACGAATTACAGAGATTCATTTTCTGGTTCATTGATAAATGATGCGTTACACACGTAGGTAAGTGAAATATTTTGCGTTTCTGTCATTTATGGGTCAACATAAATTGCATATTTGGCACTTGTTCTACTAACGATTATCAGAGAATATGTATTTCCGTACATGATTTCCGCCCACATAGGCGTCTATAAATAGTTTTTATTCAGTTATTATATTTTAAATAACAGTTTTATTACAGACTATCGCTATCTGAGGAAATGTTTAGTAGTAGTATTCTACCGAAAAACGTGGAAAACATCATAAATTAAATTTAAAAAAAAAACGAAGCAGACCTAATTGTTGCCGAAAATTTAAAAGTTAAACAAGAAAAGAAATCTGTCTGATGTAACTATTAACTTTCAAAAGTACAAATACCTCGGTCTCTATTCGACTATTATTGTATTTATTTAATACCTTTCTAAAAAATTAATTGTAAGCGATTTTGCTTTTAATTTATATAAAGGCCTTAATAAAAACAGAAAACTGCTTGTAGTTACACCACGTATAATCTATTTTTGTTGTTATTTCGTGGTACTCGAATTGATAAAACATTTAAAGAAACCAATAACCAAATATAATTGAATAAATAATACAAGAAACCAATAACCAAATATAATCAAATAAATAATACAGTAATTGCGGTATTTGTACCAATAGATTCCTTAAATTCCTTGCGTAAATCACTGAATCTTTTATTATCTTCTTATGTATGCCATATGTCGATGAAGTTTTTCAGGTTCAAATAACTTAAACCTAAAAATTCCAATATATGCAGCTGCAACTAAAGGATATATTTGTAGATTTCAGAATTGTTATGAATTTTTGTTTATTTAATCAGTTTTCCTTTGGCATCCAAACCTGAAAGAAGAAAATTATTACTTAAGAAGAAGCATTGAACTCTAATATAAGTAAAATTGTTTAGCATTACCTGTTTGAAGTCTTAGTGCTAGTTCTTTAGCGTTACCCAGGGTGCACCACGAGGAGGCGAACTAGCTTTGCACCCCATATTAAATATTAAACATAGCATCCTTTATTTTCTTCGTAGATTATGTCGGGCATTCTCGCAATTCTTTTGACTGCTGACCAAAGTAATTCATTATCCTAGAATTCCAAATAGAAATCCAATCGATTTATGTATTGCATGTACATCATACGCGTTTGAAGTTTCCTTACTCGTGAAAATGTTTTTTTTTTTTGGATCACGAAAAACATTTTCTTGCACATACTTTTCAATATATCTTATTCATGATCTGATTTACTGTATATACATATAAATATAAGTGTCTGTAGTATTTTGTTTTCTTTGTACAGTACTTTCCAGTTTGATTTATTTTAAAATAAACGAAAGAAATAAATCATCATGTCTGAGCCAATTTGAATTTCATCAGGCCTAAAAATGCCAAAACAAACAACGTAACATTATCCGCTGCTTGTTTTGGCAAATTTTTATTTGAAAAAATTAACACTCCCACACACCATGTGGAAGATGTAAGAATTCAATTAAAATTCTGTTAGACAACTACAAATTATCAAAGAAACCAGATGAATAATCCCAACATATAAATAGTCTACGACGATTGATATAAAGTGAGAAAATATTGAATAAATTTAAATGAAGACTCAAAGTTCGAATCATCTGTAAACATCAAATGTGTTTCGAATTTTGTATACTTTCCAAGTCATTTAAATTTTGTTATTAGATTCATTTTAGAAAGGCTTTCTCTTGTCCGTCTGTGTCATGTTTTCTGAAATTGTAGTATATACTTTAGAAACTCCCCTTTAAGTAAAAGGAGAATATAAAATCCCCAGGTCTAACTGGTCGAGACTACAATTTGATAAATATTTAGTCAATAAAAACAATTTATTTATTAT